GCTAGTCTTTTTCTTCTTTTCTGAAAAACCGACGGTCCAGTCATACAGACTGAAGAAAGGTTGAGATGAGAGTGTGACTGGTCAATGATCACCCCACTTAAAAGTAAAACAAGGGATCAAGGGATCCATAATCTACTTGAGCTTCTAATGCTTATATCAGAGCTTCTACATCCACACAAATTTAGAGTATTTATTTGGTTAGTTCTCATTAATCGTTGAATAGCATCAAGTAACTGTGTTCTTTTTAAGATTTTGATTGTTTTATTATTGTATCGCTTAAAGTCCCTCTTTCTGAATTTGTGAGAAACAAAATAGGGCGCGGTCATTAATTAACTGAAGAAATAAAAAAATAAAATGAAGAAGAAGATGAGAAATGGATTAGCATATTCAAGGATCTTCCTGGCAATGAGTTTAAGTCTTAATACACTAATGTTTGATATGCTTCTCCTAGTTCATCCATTCATTCTATTTAAGGCCACGTCTTCTAATTATGTCATAGTTTTTTAAAGCAAGCTTCCATTTAAGAGAAACAGTGATCAAGTTGATCTAAACTTGATAAAGAAGTCATATTCCAAAATTAACTTCAATTCTCAAAAGAACTTATCCGATAGAAATAAATTTAGTGGCCGAAATAGGAACTCCAAAAAATAAATTGGTGTGTATCCTTAAAAGTAATTTTAATTACATCTCATCTTCCATTACTTAATTGATATTTCCTTATCGACATCAGCATCATCAACTACCCCCAGGCCACACCAATGCCACAATAGCCCCATGCCTCTCCTCTCCCTACTACCATTATTTGAAAAAACTCCATTACACTACATCAGCACATATATCACCACTAACTCCACCTAATTCCTGTCACAACCACCATTTTATATACACATCGCCCTATACCCATTCAAATGTCACTAAACGGATCCATGTCCTATTTTTAGCACAAACGCCAGACCATCCAAATAATTTCTCGGAGCTTCTCCTGTTCTTCTAAAATTTGCTTCTTTCCCAATTCCAACCCTATACTTGGAAAATTTTCATCTGAATAATATATTTGTCCCTGAAGATTGATTATCTCAATCTCAATTATTACTATTCAATGAATCGAAAAAAAAAAAAAGGGCTGCCAAGCATGAGAGTACATGTTTGAGTATGAGACCAACCACTTAATACAAATAATGCCAAAGATTAGGTCTATACCTAAATCATCTCTCCCACCCCTCTTGATTAACAAATACCACACTAGATAATGTCATTTAAAATCTCAATTATCAATTGCAGAAAAATAAAAGAAAAAGAAGAATCCAAAGCAACAGCAATCATTCATATCATGAATCATGTTGCAATCATTATAGGTTATAGTAAGGAATAGGATAACCTTGTATAACCACAATAATTCTGCGGCATTGGAGGACACCTCACGCGTCCTTCAATTATCAAGATACTTAGCACCCAAATCAAAATAATTGCATTAGGAGGGATAATTAGCATTGAAGTAACAATTCTCATTCATTAAACACAAAACAGATAAAACATCAAACCCAAAAAAAAAAAAAAAGTAACAATTTTCAAAGAAAAAGCATTAAACAAATTTCAATAAAGGTAAACCAGGCCACACATAAAATAAATAAATAAAAAATAAAAGAAGGGTTAGCAATAGTGTCAGACAACATGATCAGAAAATTTCATTATTACCGTTTCAATTTAATTCACCTTTATTGAGCCACAAGAAAAAGAAAAAGGATTCGAATTACTGTTTCAATTCGTCAATCAAAAATCCTCTGTATTGAAAAAATACCCGAGTTTTTACCGACCAACATGGATCAATCGAAATTGGCATTATTAAATTAAAGAATTTGTATTCATTATAGCTTAAAAACAATTGAAAAAATAAAGTTATTTTCCAATGACAGACTCTAAGTAGATTGTAAAGACAGTAAAGGGCACACACATGATTATATATATATATATATAGGTATAGAGAGAGAAAGATAGAGACACCTGTTCTCATACCCGGAAATAGAGATCGACCATATAGAAGAAATGAATGTGTTTTGTTCTCAGAAACCAGCATCATATGTTATATGTAGAGTGAGCGTCTACTATCAGCAATGTGTGTCCACAGGACAAAAGCACGTGCTTTATGTGACTAAAATAGATAAGTATCGAATGTACTAATCGACTGTTGTGTCTATATAGATTATACAGTAGAAATGACAGGGCACAAAAGCCATGTGCCACATCTCACCTTAAATCTCATCTTGCTTCATGAATGAATCATGACCCGCTTCAACAAATACAAAATACAAGCACGTCCCCTGTAATACTACTATATAAACTAGTACGTTACCAATTTTTAATATAAAACTAATAGAGTGGTGATTAATTGTCATGTTGACACATATACGTGTAAATAACTATTGAATATGTTTTGTGAAAATAAAAATTAGCGTAAGTTTGACTAATGATATTAAAGTTAATTTTAATAAAATATGCTAAGTCCAAAAAAGATAATTTTGATGTTCACAATGCCCAAATATAAGAGAGATTTGACTATACTTATATATGTGCGGGCATTTTGTGTGAACAAAAAGTAAAATATGAAAAGCGAATAATGTCTATAAACAAAAATTGTGACCGCCCAATATATATATATATATATATATATATATAAAGCAAACAATATTCATTATGTGTGAACCACTGTAACACAAACTCTCTCCTAATCAAACAAAAAATCATTTCTCTTTCAACTTTCAAATACAAAGTCTAAAAACCAGAATCTAATTAAAGCCAGATTATTAATAATATTTTATTACTGTAATATCCAATGCTTAAAAAGCAAGCTCTCCGTACATATACTTTACGGATAACCTTATCCTCTGTGGAATGTAATATTGTATTAGTGTAAGATATAATGCTTAAAAAGCAAGCTATTCTATTGGCTACTGAGGATGATGTTGCGTCCAATAAATCACTTGATTTAAATGGTTGGCTGCAATGGGTGTGGTAAGTCTGAAATCATTTTCTCATTAACGCATTTTTTTTCTTTCTTATGTCTGCCATTTTTCTTAATAAAATATAATCTATTATATCATTTTGGTTCATTTATTTATAACAAAACTTCTTTTACAAGTAATTAACGCATTCAATTGTATTTGGTTACTTACAAAATGTAATTTGATTTCCTTTTTAATTACGTATTTATATATTTTTTATAAGTTTTTTTTGTTCAACGGGTAAGTGAAATTGACCATTACTTCAAATCAATATAATCAAGGAAAACATTATCTCTTATCAATTGTCCATCTATTGCTCCATCAAAATTTCAAAGACTAATTAGAAAACTATGCGTCTTCTTCTTATTGGAAGGTTAAAATCTATATAACATTGAGATGGTCATTAGAACTATATGAAATTTGTTCTATAAATTATCTTGGGTATGCTACATAAAATATTCATAGTTCTCATCTGCTTATCTTTTTCTTGTATTTATTTATTTATAGGAAAATGACATAGTTCTGATCTTCTTGATTATAATTTATACCCTATCTTATAGTTTTATTTTATTGTTAGAAAACATTTTCAAATCAAATCATTTGTGTAGAAGGAAAAACTTCCTGTTGAGCTGAAATTAATAACCAAAGATGGTCTCAACTTCAATTTGTTGAACAAGAATAGACCTAAAATACATAAAAAGTACAACAACTTTATAGGACCCTAATATGTATTATTTGTCAATTACAAAGTCGATTTGATTTCATATCATAAGATTCGTTAGGACAGAAAATGTAATTACTTGCAATTACTTGCAATTACAATTTGCATCATGAAAATGTAATTACTTGCAAATTGCATCATGAAAAAGTTTTCATCACGTGTGACATTAATTACACGGTGTTAACTGTGTTAACCACTTCACAGTTCAATAACATAAATTTTGGATAAACCATTTGTACATGCGCCGACCTTAGCTCAGTTGGTAGAGCGGAGGACTGTAGTGGGAATCTCTCTCGGCCATCCTTAGGTCGCTGGTTCGAATCCGGCAGGTCGGAATCAATTTTTTTTTTTTTTTTTTTTTATTTGGTTTGGGTTGATTTGACTCTATTCATGGGTCCAATCAAAAAGTACTATAGTCCAATATGATTTGATTCTATGGGGATTAAATAGTAATTCAAATCTGAATCAATTGGAAATCCGGTCTGAAAAAAAATACTCCTATCAGGCAGAATTTTGAGAAATAAATTTAGTTTTATGAAACTAAACACAAATTTCTACAAGGTAATGTTTCTTATCAAAACTTCAAAATGTTACCTAATAATTTATATAAATATAATATTAGTATTACAAATGTATATTATTTATACATCTATCTTGAAATTAAAATTGAAAAAAATATAGTTCAAATTTAAATAATTTTTTTTTTTTTTTTTTTGTCAATTCTGATTTCAAAAGTATCAAGTAATCGAACATAGTATATATATATATTTATGCTTTATAGAGATGATGTGAGATCTACAAGTCTAACAAAAAGTATATATTACTCCATAGCTGAGGCTGCTTGAAGAAGGAGCCAAAGGTTCTCAACAAATTACTCTAAAGACGACTATAGTTGAAACGTAATATTTTTTAAAATTTCGTTATTGAGTTATTCTGTTTGCACAACGTTTAGCAAAACAATTCAACATTGAAGGGATTTTATCAGTAGCACAGTTACACTTGAACGAAATCCAAAATTAAAATCCAAAGTTTAACGAGAGGAAAGAGATTGAGCTCGTTCGATCAATAAATCTGAACACCCTTTCAGAAAAGTCAGTACACCGGGACTTACTAGATCTTCGCGTCGGTATTAGACCCGAAACTAACAGTGGATAGGTCGTAACTCAAGGATACAAAAGAAGCAGTTGCATTTCTCATATGATCCACCATATAGATAAACTAATATTCAAACAAACAAAGTTCTAAAAATCACGGCAGGAGATTATATTGCATTCGGATGATTGGATCTGAAATCAAAGGAATTTGTGGTTAAAATTTACAAATGTCTATATACCAATTTCTCTCCTCAAAATGCCACCACTACAGCAAAAGCAGAGGAATATATCACAATATGTACCATAAAATTGATTATGATCTCTACAATTCGATTTCTTGACAGTTGTATGAATTAGTAAATGAACTTGAATCCAATGTCTTCGCCTACCTCTTTCACTGGAGCTCAAATGTAGAATAGGGGAAAAAAAAAAATGCTTCATTACAGAAGCTTTCGCGGTTGAACAGCAGTTAGGCACAAGTCTCTTCTCCTTTCTAGTTTACATCCCTCATGGTGCAACACAAGAAAGAATGTGGGGCTGGACTCTGGAGAAAACACAAGGACAAAATTGAACTGGGCTCGGTTATCAGTCACCTATTTGAAATTCTCCTAGAATTGTTGAGCTTCGAAGGCATGCAATTTCTTCTACCGTCTTTTCACCACCTCATTTTCCATAGATCAGCAATGTATGATGCCTACACTCCATCTACTTGGACGTTGATATTGGAAAGGGGCAGAAGATCACAATTTGTGCCAGTTTTGGCGGAGTTGCTTTCCCCATCGCTTCAATAGATGCATGCAACCAGCTGCAGAGAATAGACCAAGGGCAGCAAATACCATGATTGTTGAATTCCCGATGTTGAAATAGTAGCCTCTCTGTGACATTATCAAGGTAGGAATAAATCCCAATATGCGTTAAGAACTAGCAAAAGAAGCTAAAAATAACTACTGCCAGGTTGGAATGAACACCAATGGAAAATGGCCATCAAAGCCAAATCCGCTGAGATATAAAAAAGGTTGCAAACTTGAGTCACTATATGGAAGGATGACATTCTTTATAAAGGATAAGTCATAAGTATTAGAATAAATTTACATATTTCAATGTGAAATATAAATGAATCAATAGAAGTAAAGCGAAAAAGAATATATCAGGGTAATCTAAATTTCATATGGTATACATTTTATATTTGTTGAATATAACGTTGGTAGTATTATGTTATGGAAAGAGTACTGGAAAAGGCAAGAATTGGGTTCAAATATTGACCCAGCAGGACTCCGTGGGAACGCCTTCAACAGATGCACCTATCGGCCATACATATTCCATCTATTAAAAGGTTAGAAACCTTCATATATTTTATATTTTTACTATTTGTTTTTCCTCTTTTTTAATTGGGTTGGCCAGTCCATCCCCTTCCATGTGGCCACCAGAGGGGGAAGCTGGAAGAATCAGGGCTAGCCGGAGAGAAGTGTCCTCCCTTAAAAGTTCTCCTGGAATATCATAACAATCTAAGGATCAAATGCTATACATTTTTCTGGGTTGTTGTTAACTTTTTTGCAACAGTCATTCAAAAAAGATTCCATCTCACCAACCCCTTTTAGTCGAAACCATATTCTTCCAAAAACGGAGTTCTTAATGCATAATACAGTGTTAGTTAATTAATAAGCCCCCAAGCAGATGAAATCGTTGGCCAAGGACCAAGCATGCAAAGTGGGCCTACTAGGTTTTATCTCCCCCCCCCCCCCCCCCCCGTGAGGCCAGCTGCCAGCCTCACAGGTTCTTCCTGTATTAAAATGGGTGCGTGGCTTTGGGGCCTACCACATGTCGAGAATGGACTAGTTCAACCACATGGATGGGGATACCCCTCTAATTAACAAAAACAAAAAGTTAATTAATACTTCTAATTAACCAAAATTCCATAAGAAAACCCTCCCACCACAGAAGAAGGATCAAGAAAGGTCTCAGTGATCTCAAGTGTAACCACCAGTAAAATCGAAATTTTAATTATGCTGGAACACATCATCTTGTGTACAGCAGCATGTTTTGGAAGAAAGAACTTTTTATTTCTATACACCCATCCTTCAAGTGTAATAAGTTAAAGACACATACTTGCATTAGGAAAAACAGAATTGCTGCATTTGCAGGGGCTAGAGAAAGGCTTATCATTCCTCCACGCAACTCATTTGGCACGTACCTGTTCATAAGGAACAGGAGATGCATGAAAAGTTCCTCCAAAAAGAAACAAATAAATGAAACAAAGAAACAAACAAAATCAGAAACAGAGAAACGCGAGACCCAAAAAAACAGAGGAAGAAAAATAGATAGGAAGACAAATCGAACTAACATGGTCCTCAATCTGGCAAGTGAAGGTAACATTATGCCAATGCAAGCATGAAATAAGCAGAATAGCATCACAAGAACTCCAATTTCCTGTACATAATTACCAACTGTAAAGTTGAATACTAAGCTTCGGAATCTGAATGGAAAAATATTAATAAGAATAATACTTCTCTTAATGAACAATGAGTCGAGATATCCATACCTGATAATCATAAGCTACGATGGACAAAACAAACCCCGTTATGACAAACAAATATTCTAGGCAATCTTCAGTCCGAATCGATAATGGCCCACTAAAAAACCATGGAAACACTGTGCTTCCTAGCATTCTAGCACCCAGAAAACAAGGATATATCAGCCCCAGATGCACTTCTCGCCCATCAGCCTAGAACCACAACAACATAGGTCAGATGTCACAGTAATTTACCCTTGATATTAATACAGCTATACAATTTTACTACAAGAAGTTAAAACCATATCTTTTGTTCTTGAAGTTAATTTCATTCATATACCACATAATAATTCACTTGGAACAGAAAATAGAACAGTTCCTTTTTTTTTCTTTCCCCAAACCACCCACCCACCCCCCGCGGCGGGCAATAAGTGCCATCCGGATGCTCTTTAATGCAATGCTAGGATGAGTTTTGACACTTAGTCTAGCAGAAGACGAGCTCCCTAATTAAATAAGTTGGCAGTACTTAAGTTTTTGACTATGACTGCATCTTCATTGTGCAAATTATTATATACCTATCACAAGACCTTTGGATTGGAACACGCATCCTTGGACTTCACCACTGCCACTATTCTCTCTCTCCAAAATGCCACGCCATCACCTCATTACACATGTATCACCTCATTCGCTCAGAGGAGCTTGCACTTTGGTCGAAATGGATCCCCTCCCTCCCTCCCTCAATTTAAAGTTTAAAGCTTTACTGGAAATTTGTTGGGGCCCTCGAGAATTTCAGAAGTCTATTTAGGTGTTTTTTTTTTTCTTTTGCATCTAGAAAATTTATTCGCTCTGAAAGTTAAGGAGCAGATTTGTGACCCATATATGTCTTAGTTGCTACCATTTGTAGATTTTGTGCAATTAGAGGTTTAATATGCATCAACTTGGAAATTATATCCAAAAAAATCATTGAAGTTTACAGTATTGCCTAAAGTTATCCTACATAATCACTTTTTCATCAAATTATCAATATCAACATATGTTACAATTTCTATTTAAAAATCTCAGGGTTTTAAAAACATTGATATAATACACTACAGGAAAGCAGCCAAAATGCCTACATTCAGATCCCAAATCATAAGGAAGAAAATGATCCATCAAAAACCAAAAGATGGGTCCTACCACTATAGTCGGAGCCCATAACATCCAGAAAACTGAAATGGAGAATTGGACGCAAGTTTGTGCCCATGCCAACAGCCATATCCGTTTATCTACCAAAAAAAAAAAAAAAAAACAATTAATCATTAACAAACAATTTCTCATAAAGTTTTTTTTTAAATAAATAAATTATAATTCCTAAATTTCACTTCCGCATTTTCCTTTTAATCTTTCCTGTATGTGCCTCGAAAAGTTGCTACATGATGTAATTTTTACATCCTTATTGGACAAAACACTTTTATTTGATGCTACTTTGAATAAAAAGGAACTGCATACAGATTTGTCCATCAGTAAATCATAAACGTTTATGTCAACTAAGAGTTGCATAAAGATATAACTTTTTTATTAAAGTTAGAAAGGAATATGTTGTTGTTTTTATAGGAATATGTATAGGGATAGAAGGACTACAGTTTGCACTATACGTGGAGAAGTTAATGACTTTCCTATAAAGTAGGTCTATATCAAGGAAACATTGCTAAGTATGCATTTATACTTTACAAGATTTCAGAAATTAATGCTTAAACTCACACATACTAATTCGCACTGCAATTGAGAAAGTAAAAATGTGAGTTAGCAACCTAATTATCAAATTTAAAATAGCATTTTGATATTCATAACAGGATTGAACTTTCAGTCAACTTCACTGATTCCACTTGCACTATATTTACTCCTTTGAACTGGAAAAATTATATTCATGTCAGCATAGTCAACATACAATACAACAGTTTCAAGCAACTATAAAAATGCCATTTAAGTATTCATCTACACTCATTGGAGACTTGGAGCACCAGTTATACCGGTACTTCTTTCATCTAATAAAAATGAGTATGGAAAAGAATAAGAGCAGTCATGAAACAGGGAAAACTAACATTCTTATAATAATGGCAGGGCAGAGAGAGAGAGAGAGAGAGAGAGAAAGTTTCAAAAAGGAAAATGCATTTCGTAGTACCAAAGATATATTCATAGAAGGATATTCTGTAATTCTGAAATGATGCTGTTTGTGGAACTTCTTTACATCCTCGAGTGACAAAAATTATAGTGACAGTAGCCAGCAGAAGAGCTGCATTGGCAGGAGCATTTATATGTTTCACCACATTATGACCAACCAGCAAATTTGCGAGAACTTGGCTAATGATGGAAGATGCAGACTCAGAGAAAGTCATTAACCAAAACATGTCATTCAATATGTCTTGCCTGTGTCCAAGCTGCAAAAGAATAAGGATCATGTCATTGTTAAGCTATCCGCAGCAATTTCAACATATGTTTATGATACTGATCGAGAACCATGTCGATCTAAATGCTAGAGAACAAAAGAGGACAGATATCGACCTTATAATCAGTCATTTTCATGGAAAAGAGTCGAAAGGTCCTACACCCGACACTCTATATGTGTAATGCAAAAGTTAAAAATTGTTCTCTTTAACACAAACCTTGTTATGTTCTGCTACCATCCATGTCTCGAAACTGAATGAAAATATAGAACTGGCAAGAGAGAGACAACTACTAGCTATCCAAACTGTCGGATGTGCAAAAATCCTCTTCCACGTGGCAACAAAAAGGTGCAGGAAGCAAAATATCAGACAAGCTTTCTTGTGACCTCTGCAATAAGACATCAAATTTCAATGCTCATTCTTGTTTATGCAAGAACAGGAGTCACAGTGCCAAAGAACATTCTTATGTAGTACACCTACCATTTCTACCTAAAAGTGTTACACATTATGTGTAAAAGCTAAAGACAGATGTGCTGGTGCGAAGGCTTTGATTTTAAACTATCATCCCAAAAGAACCCGTGCAAAATTAGAAACTGACGACACAGTTTCAGAAAGAAAACAATTTGCTTTGAGCAAAGTATCATGCATTTTAAGATAATTGTGAAGCAATTACATATTGTTGTCAAATTCATGACACATCCAACTTATTCTTGAGTGCACAAGAACCTGACAAATATGACCCATATGATTTGATAGTTCCCAGTTTATTCAAAACCCCAAAGATGTTAAAATTTAGATCGAATGCTGACATGTTCTTTCCTCAATTAACATGTTGCATCCCCACCTCCAAAATCAGCCCTAAATATCCTCCAAGACATTTCTTTCATTATCACTGACTTCATTTATTGCTACCAAGTTATTTGGATGTTTTGATCTTTGCAATTATGCTTGATATAAGTGCTAAATTCTATATCTAATAAACTTTCATTCCATTTATACATCAATATTTGCAATATGAAACACAGAAGCACCATCACAGAACATGCCTACATATACAAAAATGAAAGCAAGCATATAAGTGCACTTACATTAAATCAGAAAGCAAGCCCAAGGAACTACCAAGGATGAGAGCAGTAGCATATCCAACGCAGAGATACCACACCATTTGCTCCTTACTAACGCCGTAATATGCCAATTCATACTCTCCAGACACTGACCATAAACCTTCCATAACTGAGAGAAAGTAAAGAACACATTAAATTAACATTTTAGTCAAAAATTGGCCTCTGTTTGGCTGATCAAAATTTTGAACCTACATTGTTTGACATCTATGAACCAACAAAACAAATAATTATGTTAAACTACTTAGTTTAGACGCAAAAACAACAGGGAATAATAACACACTCCCTATCATGTTTTCTTTTTTCCTTATCGTTCATTTTCAGTAACCAAACAAAGATTTAAGAACATTTTATATAAAAATGCAGGCAGAGAAGGCTGACCTGAAGAGAGACAGTAGATGAGAAGAAAAATTCTCCGAAATCGGGGAGATGAAAGAGAGTGATCGAAGAGAGTGGGAGTTTTGTTGGAGCTCATCGAAAAGTGAGGTAGACAAGTGATTGAGAGGAAACATGATACGAATATGAAAATATACAGCGCCTGGTTCGGCTCCCATACTTCGCTCTCGATGACCACTCCCATTGTTTGGGAGCAAAGAAATGCGAGAAAATTCGTCAGATCTCAAAACCCTAGATCGGGAGTCACGAAGTGTAGTGCAACAGAAAGAGGGAGAGATCGCAGAGAGACACGCAGGGTTTACGATATCATAGCTAAATCGATCTGTAACACGGTGTACGCATTCGAACTTTAATGACGCCTAGCTCACTACAAGACCTTTGCCGTATAAACTGTTTCCTATTTCAAATTCTCTCAGCTCCAAATCAAAATGGAGTAAGGGTATTTTTATATGTTAAACCCTAAACCTCACCCCATTTAATTTATTCAAGTTATACCTCACTTCTAATATTTGAAAACGAATAAGAAGTTTAGGTGAATAACATAATTATTGGATTACATGGATATATAAGTAAATATATTTGTGTGTGAGGTGTGCTATACCAATGGAGTTAGTCTACAAGATTTTGGTGAGACTTTAATGTCCCATTTGAAAAAGTGAAGGACAAGGAAACACAACTCATGCAATGATTTTGATAACAAAAGTTTAAGGCCCTCTCTGGTCACTGAATTTTAGTTTTCGGTTGTTATTTGTAACTAAGTTTTATTTTTAACATCTTACAAAAAAAACAAAAATAAAAATTCAGAAGTCGCAAGTCTTCACAAGTGCACAGAAGTGGCAAGTCTATAATCACCTCTCCACAAGTGCACTTTAGGGTTTTACATAGATTACTTATTCTTGTTTGGGATAACTAGTTGCGTTATAGGATTTTACATTTCTTGATAATGAAATCGATGGAGTTTAGTTGATGGTTGGCTTGTTTCTTCTATGTTGCCCCTCTCTATCTGCGTGAGATGTTTTCCTCTATAATTTAAGGTGTACCAATTTAAAAAAAGAAAACCAATTTTTTAAAAATAATAATAATACCCCACACAATTTTTGTTAAAGCAAATTGAATTTTTGTGGGATTTTTATATTCACACATGTTCTTTTAACTATTTTTGAGAAGTGGAGGGGTGGATTTATTCTTTTCAATTTCATTAGAAATGGCATAGCATGAGAAGCATAAAACTAACAGCCAAAGAGAAAAATAGGCAGTCTTGCAATTGGCATCCCTGAATCAGATAGGAAGTCACTCTCACCATTATTGTGAAGATTTTAATGGACATAAACTCGAGACATCAATTGCAACCAAATTCTTAAACCAAATTTTTTAATTACCAAATTTTTTAATTACCATTCATCATCCATTCATTGTTGTATGGTCATCAAAATAAATTGGCCTAAGGAAAGTTTTCCAGTCACACACACATATATATATATAGATCACCAAAAAAATTTCGCTTTTATACTTTCAAAAATTCAACAACATACTTTTTTTTTTGGGAAGGTAATTCAACATACATTACTAAACGTGACAGTACAACAATTTTCAAAATGATAGCTCATCAAAAAAATCACTATGTTATAAACAGGCCGTAAGGATATAGAAGCATCATGTTTTGAAAACTTAAAAGCCGTGAATTTTCGTTCGGTTTACGGTTCGAGACGAGAACTGGTCCGAAAAACCGCAAAACACTGATAACTCGTATTTATTCCAACTCTCCCTCCCTCCTCCTGCTCTCACACCCTCAGCCGACCACAAGCCTCTATCATCCATCTTTCCGGGTCATCGATTTTCTCCGTCACTGAAGACTACTTACTGCGAACTCCACTCACAACGTCCACTATATTTGTTCTCCTCTATCACCCATCTTTCCGGCCAGAGAGATGTCCAAGTCTGTTCCTCGTCACTGATGACCACCTAGAACAGAATTTGTAGCAATGCAAGCGATCAACTCCATACAAACAGAACCTGCACTCTTTCAGATGTGCCATCTGCTCACCCCAACATTGTTCAAACAACTGAAGAATGTAGCATCGTCAATCTCAAGGCATCATTGGAGAAACTAGGGTTTTTCGAGGGCTAGAAGTTGCATTCAAGTCATTACGACTCAAAAGATCCTCTTTCTGATTGTGTTTCATACTTGGTAGTTGTTGCCTTGAGATCTGGAACTTCGTCAAACACAGTGATAGGAGGATTTTGAATGCTATAGAACTTATCAGCAACATATACAAGAATGGAAGGTGGCGTAATAACATAGCTAGAGAACTAAGAGAGACATTTTAACAGCAAGGAAAGAAACACCAACCAATGGTTATATCTACACATAAAGGGGGCAAAGAGAAATAAAGTGATCATGATGAGAACAACAAAATACATAACTTGATGTAATAATTAATGACAAAATGTCGACATCTAGAATTATCTCAAACAGATAGAAGATGAGCATAATACAATAAAATGAGGGTGCAACCTTAAATCTCCACAACTGAGGGAGAAGGTCGTATAGCTATAAACATACTACATTCCCATATGATATCGGTTCTGTTTTATGTACGTTTTACAAATTAAATGATGCTACTGTGTCCTCATCCTGCTACTCTCTGCAGCCCTCACTTGAAAGAAATATGGATGGGCCTGCGATAATACACAAGAATGTAACAAACTAATGGCCACAATAATAATGCCTTACCTTCCGGAAAATAATAATTATAATAATGTGTTTTGCTCTTCTTGCAATACAAAGCAGAATAAAGACTACACATTATGTAACAAAAGGTTGAAGAACAAGCCAAACAAACAAGTAATAAAGATGTGAATTCTTTTCAGGGGGCATAACCCCATTTTGACTATTACATCCACAAGATGGCAAAAAACTTTCCAATACCATCATAACATGTGAAATACTGAAGTACAATGACCCTCGTTTCCTTAAAGATAATACTAATTGCTAAAAACTTGATGCAATTTCCACATGTTTTTCTCTATTCTTTGTTCCACTCAACTCTATTAATTGAACAAGACAATTTTGATTACTTTGCTTAGTTTATTTCCTTCTTATTAATTAGAGATCACGCTCTCCACAAAAATTATCAAGGATCCTGGGCAGCGAGCCACTTATTACTTTTCTATATTGTTTTAACAAGTCCAAGACATGCTTCCACACACACACACACACACAGCTATCAGGCCAAATGAGTGCGTGACAAAAGCCATTTTGCAACACAGAACAGTCGAAATTCTATAGTTATTTCAATATCTTCTAACAACTTAATTGATTTGAAAAAGGATGCAAGTTGAAACACTTTTCAATTTCTTATTGCATTTCATATGTGATGCATTTAATCTATATTCATAATATACAAAATTTAGTTGATTTTTTTTATAATTATAACTATAATTTGATACACAGTTTAATGTTAATAGCTAGGGAAAATTTGATGGCTTATATTAATACAATGTTAGTATTTTACTTGTATTTTTTGCTTTAAAATTTGTGAGCCTTGTATAAATAGAGAGAGAGATTTTTAGTAGCATAGATAATAAGGTTATCATGCAAGCTTTCTAAATATGAGAACCCATCGAGGACAATTGTAATTATGTTCAATGAAAATATTATCGATAGATATTTAAGTACCTATATTTGTCATGTTAGTAACAAAGAAAATTTTCCTTTTATCTAGTTCAATGTGCCCCCTGAAATAAATTTGAGACTTCTTTGTTGAGGAATGGTCATGAGAGGCAAGCAACTGACAGTTTGACGTAGGCAAATCAGATAAAGAACATTTTGACATAGGGAAGCTCCATAAAATAAATGGAAAATTGTACGGACTGTAATAGAAAACAAAAGAGCAGAAGAAATTGAGAAGAATGAAAAGGCCAGTAACAAGGAAACTTATAAATGAAGGAAAAAGTAGGAGTTAATTCAGCCCAAATAGGATTACCATTGCTTCTTTTGCTGTAAGCCTGTCCTGATGATCGTAACGAAGAAGCTTATCAAGGAAATCAATGGCCTGCATGTCAGATGCATAGAAAGAATCAGAACCAGTAACAGGACTGCAGGTCCATTTTGGAATAAACCAAATATCAATCTTGCACGGGCTACTAACGGACATACACACAGACAAAACAAAACGAGAGAAAGAGAGAGTAACCTCTGGAGATACTAGATGTTGATTATCAGCATTAATAAATTTGGACCAGGGCTTCCTGCTGTGCCTGCATATGAATAAACCAATAAAGCAACATAGTTTAAGCAATAGATTTTATTTTATTTTTTTATTTATTTTTATTTATTAATATACCTAGCTAGCAAAACCACTTGGACAGATGGAAACGGTCGCTCCACAAGATACTCCAACATTAAGTAATAATTTTATGTAACCACATTGCGACGTAAAGATATTTACTTTCAAACGTACCTCCCAACAAGAGAATCAAGTTGAGGATCAAGCTCTAAATGATATTTACTCAAATATGCAGTCAACTCATCTGTCCCAAGTACCTGGAATTAGATTTGATGTAAGCTGTGGTGTGAACTTATTTAAAATTTCATTTAAAAAAAAAAAAACTAAATATTATTAAATAACACAAATGTATTAGCAAACTTCATATGCCTGAGTGTCGATCAACCAGACCATTCTTGTGTAGCAGGAAAGAAACCTATTGTTCTATTCTCTTCTTTGCTTTCTTTTTTTTTTCCTCCTTTTTTTTTCCTTTCCTTTTTTCCCCCCTCCCAAAGCCACAGTACTCCTGCATTCAAGAACGTTGGAATGGTGGATATCACACGCACACTCAACAACTCAGCACGCTGCAGGTTCTCCAGCAGTCACTATGCAAGTAACAAGGAGCATGATTTGGTAGTACTTATCACACCAGCACAATAAGAGACTGATACACGAACAATTCATGTACTATTGCCACGTGATTTTGTCAATACACAAGAAACAACTCTTGTATAATACCTATCACTGAATTAGTGAATTCCAATAATATCTAGAAGAATATAAGGTCTAAATTTCAAATTTGTACAAATAAAAGTGGCTTGGGCCCTCAAACTGCAAAACACAATAAAGAAGTCTGCAACAAAGAAATTGCAAGACAATGGGTACTCTAGCCGACAAACATATCAACCTTGTCAGTTCCAGCAGATATGTGTGGAGCATAATAAGAAATTACAGCAGGGCTGGTGAACCATAGAAATTGGGCTTTAGAGAAGGAATATTTAGAGATCTGACACGAAGCATTTGCTACTTTCAGAAGGTAGTCATTTTTTCTTTTTTCTTTTTTTGGTTAGGTAAGTGCTCGCACACATTTCATAAATTGCCCACTACGGGGCTCAAACCCCTCACCTCCCCTTTGAGGGAGGAGAGGTTATACCATTGGACTAATGGCCCATTGCTTTTCAGGAGGTAGTCATTTTAAGAGCATATATCTTTAAAACAATCAAACCATAAATGAAATTGTGCAATTCCTCATTTTCTTAATTATTTATGTTTCTCTTCTATGTATTTATGTTGGGACTCTACAATGCAATAAGGAGCCCATCTGAACTCCCATTACAGGTTGATGAATGACCAGATTCAAATTATAAACAAAATAAATAAATAAATAAATAAAGAAGTAAAAATTGTCCAGATTCAAAAACTCTGTTACCAGGGGCAAATTTGACCAAAGTGCATTATACTACTGGTGAGGAGTTACTAAGAGTAAACTGCATTTAAGGAGTCTTATTTTATATTCATGGTTTTCCAATAATCAATTTCTGTCTTGAGAAATTGAACTAAGATGAACATAGAAGAAGTTCTTCACCAACGAGGCAGTGGCCTAGCGGTACCAGTCCCCTACTTCTCAAAGGGAGGTCAGGGGTTCGAGCCTCCATGGAGGCATGAGTGTGTGAGTTTACCAACTAAGAAGAAGTCATCTTTGTTATGTAATTCATAACTACAGTGATGCAAAACATATAATCTACTAGCATTCAAAAATCTAGCCTATTTGTTGGAAAAACGCATCACAAAGAATTTCATTTATATGAAAAAGAATGCGTTGCACATCGAATGACCCTAGATGGAGAAAAAAATATAGTATTATAAACATCATTTACAAAAATAGCAAGGAATCGCAAAGAATACAGAGTTCTTGCAGCTGATTCTTTAGATACGTTCCGTTTCGGCACAGTGACAGATATTAATGTGATATAACACCAATAATACTACAAAATAAAGATCATTTCAACAGATTTCAAACCACATTACCTTCGCAATTTTAACAAGCTGATCATGGTTGTCATGCCCATAAAAGAAAGGTTCCTTGCGAAATATCTACATTAAATAACACTAAGCATAATGAGTAATGCGAAACCTAGGTTTAAGATATACATGACCCTTAATAGATTTTTCACCCAAGTAGAAAACAAAATTGGTTGTGATTCTCACCATTCCTGCAAACATGCAACCAAGGCTCCACATATCCAAAGAATAGTCATAATCTTGCAAGTCAACAAGAAGTTCAGGCCCCTTGAAGTATCTGAGTAAACAACAAGAGCAACTTTCAAATTTCTGAACGCTGAAATTAAAATTTGAATCATGGGAGTAAATAAGAAGGCACATTCACAAAGCCAAAATATTCCAGAGAAATCCTAAATTCGCCCCGTTAAATACATGGTTACCAAAGGGGAGGTCGGGTTCGAGCCTCAGTGGAGGCATGAGTGTGTGAATTTGTTTAACCTTCCAAAAAAAAAATTCCCAAAATCCTTGAATAGTTGCTGTCCAGAAAATTCCAAGCACATTTCTCTAGAATTCCATAAGTCAATTTTGAACCTTAAACCTATAAGTAATTCATGACCTTAGCTCACCAAATAATAAAATCATAGCTGGAACTATGCCAACTTCGCCTAGGACTGTCTCCAATTTTGAATCTTAAACCTACAAGTAATTCATTACCTTAACTCACCAAATAATAAAATAATAGCTGGAACTATGCTAACTTCTTAGTATTATCCTACCATTAGTTTGATAACAGAGATATTAGATGAATGTTATTTTGCACTAAGTTAACCAAAAAAGAAACAAACAAGAAAGAAAGAAAGATAAAGAAAAAGGTGAGTTTTAATTTGCCCTTGTCCTACATCATAAAATCTACATGAGATACTGCATTGACACAGCTCCTCTATGTCTTCTTCACTTGACATACAAAATTTTGGAGTACTAGTACCTCAACACATTGTTAAAATCTCCACTATATCATGATGGCACAATTTTACTCTCTCGAACCTGACAGATTCACAACTCATTCTTGCATAAAGTAAAAAGAAAAGGAACAATTCTCAAAAAGAGAACTGTAAAAAGAGAATATAAAAAGATTAGCAAAACAATTCATTTGATTCAATTTAGGGAAAAAAATTCATTTGATTCATAGGACATGGATTCGTACCTTGAAGCAACACGAACATTATATTCCTTGCCAGGATGGTAGAATTCAGCGAGACCCCAATCTATCAAGCGAAGTTTTCGCAACTCATGGTCTATCATAACATTGTGAGGCTTGACATCTCTATGCATTATACCTTGTGAGTGACAATAATCTAATGCCTGCAAATGCAAAATCAGCTGAACCAGTTGAGCATTTAAATTACCATTAAAGCAACCTTGAGGTGTTATTCTCTGAAATTCAGAACTATAGCTTGTGAGTGACATTAAATTAATATTATTTCCAACCGCAAGCAGTAGGTGGTGCCACAACATATCTGACCCAAGTCACCCAACTGAAGTCAACAAATCCTTTTTCAATAGTCAACTCTATCTAGGGTGTTTTGTTAGCTCATAGAGTGACATTTTTTCCACCACCTTGACTCACAAATTCAGCCCTTTTGTCCTTGCAACACCTTCGACTTGAATAAAATCACTTGTTATTGGTGCATTTTGACCTTTATTGCATATTGACAAAATCTGCACCCCCAGCACCACCACATTTCATTCTCAAAATTTGTCACCCTAAACCCTCACAAATGCATTTGTTTCTGTCTGTATCTTTTCCTTGTACGGTAAGCTCATTATTTGTCAAAGTTTCTTTTTCTTGGCAGCTTTCTTTTTCTTGGTAGCCAAACATTTTGTACCATAAAGTGTGTAAGCTCACAGCCATCTTATATAAATTTCCAATATAATTGATTGCTATTCTACAAAATCACACACCGTGTTTAAGGTACTTATCCACCTAACCCATCCATTATTTATCGATATTTGAATAAGGACATTTAATTTTAGTTGACAAAATGTATTAATCCTATCAGATTTCATCAGCATGAACTCAAATAATTTTTATTGAAATATAATCAATAGAAATGGCTCATTTGGCAAGAATAAATGTTTTAGATGTGAGTTCACTAAACATTTCTCTATGCATCTGCTGAATAAGGACGTTTAATCAGCTATTTATTTATCAAGAGTCCAATCCAACAACACTTTTGTTTATTTGTTTTCTAGTCTCACCCCATCTTGCACTTAATATCCTTCTATTGTGACTCAAATGTTATCAAATACAACTCTCGCACCTTATCTGCTGAATAAGGACATTTAATCAGCTAACTATTTATCAAGGGTCCAATCCAACAACACTTCTGTTTCTTTGTTTTCTAGGATCACCCCATCTTGCACTTAATATCCTTCTATTGTAACTTAAATGTTATCATATACAACTCTCGCACCTTTACTAAAGAAATATACAGCAAAATTTCATGATTAAGCATGGTTTTTAAAATTGAGTGAGGGGAAAAAAGAACGGGTGAAGGTGAGGATGGAGAAATATGTACTCTAACAAATCAGATGCATCATTTACCTTGAGAAGCTCATATATGTAGTAACGTATGTCATAGTCTGTCAATGTGGGATACAGAATTTTGAAATCTGTACTGTTTACATACTCAAATATCAAGCTAGGAGTTTTTGAGTGCTGATCTCTGACAATGTCAAGAAGTTTGACAATATTTGGGCCCCCACAGAGGTTCTGAAGTATCTTTATCTCTCTCTTTATCTGCACGAAAACCATGAAAAATATTTTAATATCATACCCAGTAAGTTAAGTTGATCATATCCACACGAATGACTAAAAATAAAACTAATACACAAACATTGAAAGCAACCAAATGGTGAGTGAATGCAGTGCTTCTCATTGTACTTGAATTGGTGGCTCAGCTACTCTACATATAAACTATCTACTGCAACCCATGCATTGAAAAGAAAAAAGGCCCATTGGGCACAACGCCTCACCCTAGAAACATATAGGAAAGTGACAAACACCGACTGTGGTGAATTTAGAAAAAATAAAATAAAAATACGGAAAATTATGATTATCCTACACATTTTGAAAAAGAAAGAAAATCATATGCATGACCGATACAAATCATTCATCAATGGATAGCTTTGAAAATGAAAAAGAAAATATAGTTGTTATAAAATATGTATGGTACCAATCAACAAGATAACAATAATAAATATAACATCAACAACAATAAAAAAATAATAATGATAATATTTAATGGTAGTACATCATCCTTGCCTTATTCCCATACGAATGGAGTCGGCTGCATTAATTCTCTATCTCCATTCTTTTCAATTACCCGCTATATCACGCACTATGTTAAACTTTTAAAGTCATTTCTAATAACTTTATTCCACCTTATTTTGGTGGCCCTCTCCATCTCTTACCTTCCATGAAAATTGAACTTCCTCTTCTTACCGGCACATCTATAAGTCTTTGGTGTATTTGTCCAAACCGTCTAACTCTGCTATTTCTTAATTTCTTGTTGATGGGTGACGAGCCTAATTTTTTCTCCTACACTTTCATTAGTGATTCTATCATTTCTAGTCACTCCAATCATCCATCTTAACATTTTCATTTCTACTACATAAAGACGTTGTTCTTGTTTCTTTTTTAAAGTCCAATATCTGCTCCATAGAGCATAGTTGGCCAATAACGGTCCTATAGAATTTTCCTCTTAACCTATGTGCTATTTTCTTATTACATAAGATGTAGTTAGTCTCTATTTTGATCCAATTCTACTAGTTATATCACAACCCATAAGAGAAAGAATCGAGTGATTATTTTGAATAATCTTAAATAGCATAAGTGATTATTTTGAATAATCTTTCGGTTTTCAAGTGTTATCATTATATTAGAAAGAATCGAGTCTCTATTTAATTTACATTCAATATATTATATTTTAGTTCAACTAATTCTCAATCCTTTTGATTCCAAAGCATTTCTCCACATTTCTAATTTTATTGCTAAGTTTTAACCTCTGTGCTATTTTCTTATCACATAAGATGTAGTTAGTCCCTATTTTGATCCAATTCTACTAGTTATATCACAACCCATCTCTCCATCCTTTTGTATTATTGATCCTAAATATTATAAGTGATTATTTTGAATAATCTTTCGGTTTTCAAGTGTTATCATTATATTAGAAAGAATTAATTTACATTCAATATATTAGAGTTTAGTTCAACTAATTCTCAGTCCTTTTGATTCTAAAGCATTTCTCGACATTTCTAATTTTATAGCTAAGTTTTCTTTAGAAGTATCTAATAACACAATATCATTAGCAAACATCATGCAGCTTGTAATGTCTTCTTGGAAGTCTTTTATTATTTCATCTAAAATTATGGCATATAAGCGTGGGCTTAACATCGATCCTTGGTGCAATCCTATATTTATAGAGAACTCACTAGTTTCACCACACATAATACGAACTCTCGTTTTGTGTTCATATATATATCTTCAATACTCTTTATTATTTGCATGGGAGTTTGTTTTCTTTGTAGAGCCCACCAAATTATATCTCTTGCGCTTTTTTAGAATTTATAAAAATCATATGTAAATCTTTTTGCTTACTCCTACAATCTCAAACGAATTCTCTAAGTAAACATATAGCATTCATTGTTGATCTTCCCGGTATGAATGGTCATATGCATGACATAATTATGAATAATGCATTTATTGAGATTAGTCTTCCAAGTAATGCAATTATTAAAGTAACAAGTTATAAATTAATTAGAATTAAATATATGTTCTATGTACTATGAGCATATATATATATATATATATATATTTACAGTTGTGTACTTGTCGTGTCCAAAACCACCACCATAAAATTTGTTGTGTTGACATATTGCATTTGCCATGTAGTCCATGCTACATCGAGCACAAAATTTAATGCTTCGTTTATGAAACGATGCACAGGGCATAGAATTTAATCCTTCAATTATGTAACCACCAAAACAGAACAATTGAAATCCAAACATCATAAACAAGTAACTTCTCAAAAAGCAATGACCTTCGTTCATACACTACTAGCGCCAACAAGCAGAAACAATAAAAGATTACCTTTTTCTTCTTAACAGGTTTCAGGATTTTAATTATGCACCGCTCGTTGCTGTTGACATTTATACCTTCAAAAACTTCACTGTATTTTCCCCTTCCAACCTTTCGAACAACCTCATAATCATCTTGATCTCTGAAACGAAAATAGAAATTTAAGGAATGAACAGATAATAGTGAGAATCACTTGTGGAGGCTAGTTTGATTGTTTCCCTCAGCTTGAAAAGAACATCATCCACAAAGTTTGATTAGCACAATGTTGTCTACAATCACTTATTTTAAAGGATAAAGCTTCCTAGCCGTTTTGAAATGTGATTTTACATAGAGGGTGTTAGACAAGTTTGTGGATCAAAACTAGAGTCCATAACTTTGTTCTTGTTTTTAGTTTAGTTAGAATTTTGAAAGTTAGTTAATGTCCAGTTAGTCCCCTCTTGGTCACGGTCAGAGATGGAACTCAAGCTATAATTAAGGGCAAAAGGGCGATCTTCAACATCAAAGGTGTAAAGGTAAATTGACACTACTAGGCACTCACCAAGAATTAGGGTTCATGAATATATGCATTAGGGTTTTGAGAATTCATGACTTGTTTTCGAAAATCCCAAGTGATATGCAACAAAAGTGTTTTTGGACACTTCTTTACTTAAAATTAAGATTTCTAAGTCTAGGATTCTTGATAACTTCAACAAATCGACAGATCAATCAAATACTAACTAGTGATTTTCAGAATGGCTCGACCAATCGAGGAATAAATACTTTATCATAGTACAAAAAGAGATATAAAACATACATAGAGATAAATTACCACATCTTGAGAGCATTCATATATTTTCCTTTAAGCATTCATCAATTGTATTAGATTGGTGAGTGTTACATTAGTATGTTGACATCATAACTGCTATGGAGCTGATTTGTAGAGTTTAACACTGATAAATAATCGATTAAACCAAGATCACACTGTGATCATTTAAAATGATTTCCTATTTCAACACACAGCAATTTCTCACTTCGATCAAGCTAATTCAATATAAAAATCAGTAATGACCTCAATAACAACATATATTAGCAATTTCTTACCAGGATCAGGCCAATCAAACCATAAAAATCAGTAACAATCTTAATAATCTAATCGAGAATCGGAGAACAAGAACAGAAAATAAATATTAGGGCTTTTGATTACCCCCACTGAACGGTGAGCGACTCGTAATCCCAGTACTCTCTAGGGCGAAGGACATTGACGTCCGCGTAGACTCGAGCTTTGGACATGGTCCCGAGGCTCGAGCCGCCGATCTCTGAGAGATTGATGGTTTTATCACCGTTGTCGATTGCTGTTGTGGTGGCGATTGTGTCGTTGGAGGAGAAAGGAGGGCGCAGCTTAGGAGCCTCCGCAAACGGCGCACACGAGGCCAATAGGGCGTACACTACCGAGATGATGCGAAGAAGTAACAATACAGGATTGTGCGCATCTTTCATGTGCTGCCACCAACAAAGCACTAACCTTTATACAAATATATAATATACATATATGCAACGATGAAATAAAAGCTGTTTTGATCGTCTCTCTCTCAACACTGTGTTTTGAGTTTGTAGTGGATTAAGATCGAGGATGGGACGAATGTATATTTGGTTATTGGTCGTGAGGTATGGGAATGGGCCTGAATCGTCTGACTATGTGTATCTTAACAGGTGGGACACGGGTCGGTGGTGAGTGAGTGACTCGTGAAAATCGATTATTGGACAATTTGTTTCGATTTCATTGCCGTTCGAATATATATATATGGAGAGAGAGAGAGAGAGAGAGCGACGCGGAGTTTATATTTCCATTTTTATTTTTTTTTTCAGCATACCCTGATCCGCTTACTTTTTTAAAGAAAAAATAAACAATTATTCTTTCAAAATCTGTTCATACTATAATAATACAATTGCACTACACTTTAAAAGATAATTTTGCCATATTTATTATTTAAAAAAATCTACAAAAGTGATGGAATTTGATTTAGACATTACGGTAAGAATAAAATCTCGCCTGATCACCTAAACCTAGAGAGGAGTGAATAGCTCTTTTAAAATTTAAAAAAATTAGTAATACTTACGAAATGTATTGTTCACCAAATCAATCCTTTAACATCTATCATAATTGTGATTAATGTCTATATTTATATAAATGGAGTCCGCCACGGGTTTTTTATTTATATTTTGCTACTTTATGTAAAGCTTCGATCAACATCTTTGTAGCTTACTTTCTAAATAAACAACTCTTTCTTATTTAATAATTACATAATTATTGAATCTATTGAATATAATTATACCACCAAAAACTAAGGTGGACATTTATAAGTATGTGTGTATATTAATTTTAGTAAAAACTAGAAACCAAACCAAAAAACACAAAACAAAAATAAAATAAATATTCCAAAAGCCACCCATACAAGTGACTACAATATTGAGTGTTTTATACTTTTGATAAAAATAAAATAATAATAATGATAAATTAAAAGGCATACAACACATATTTTTTAGGTAAGTTAATTATAAATAAGTAGTACTCCCACACATATTTTTAATTTCATAGTTCATTATTGAGTGTTTTCAACCTCGGACTTCCCTTTGGAAGAAAAGAGGTGATACCATTAGAGTAAGAGTTCATTGATTAAATTTAAATGTTTCTTACATAATATCACGTACTAATTAAATACAAACACAATGATAAAACTCACTAAAATAAATGTATTTTTATTTAATAATTATATGTATATATTTAATACTTATGTGTACATATTTAATTAGTGTGTAAAACTATGCCATGACTACCTCCCAGGTTGTTGTAGACACTAAAATTTTATAGGCTTTTGTTTCGACAAATTGACCCATCAAATATGGGTTTCACGTTTAATTAAATTATTTAATTGACCCAAACTTGGTCAACTTAAATTATTTAGGGCTCCTTTGATATGTGCTTTGTTTTAGGCATTTTGTTTTTTGTTAAAACAAAAATAGTGTTTTCGCTGTAGTAGTGTTTTGGAAAAAAATCAGAAGTACGTTTGAGAACGATATTTGGCTGTAGAAATGTCGAACTCGTGTTGCGCTACTGTTATAGTTTTGGGCCATAAACAGTTGTCAAAATAAGAAAAAATAACTTTTTGGTGTTTTGGTTTTGGACCACTATTCACGACATGTTTTAGTACTGTGTAAAATAAAATAAGCCCGCAGCAAACATGTTTTTGTTGCCAAAATCGACACTATAGCAGTCAAAAAAAAAAAAAAAAAAAAAAAAAAAAAACATAAACAAAATCCATGCCAAACGGGGCCTTAAGGTGCATTTAATAACGTTTTTGTTTTCTATTTTTGCAATCTTAAGAAAGTAGAAATATAATGTTACTTTCTTAAGTAAAAATAGAAACCAAAAATGATATTTATTAACACTTGTTGCCACCACAAATTTGAAAAACATAAAACAATAATAATGTTTAGTAATACATATTTGTTACAAAATGTATATAATATTTTTAAATATTTTTAAATATTTTATTTTTTCATTTTTTCATTTTTATTTATTTGTTTTAATGGCAAGAATTTTATAAGTTAGTGATTAGAAGGAAGGGGAGGGTAGATGACTTGAACACTAACTCTCGGACATAAGGAGCAACCTAACCACTCAAGCACGATACTTGCTTCCATTGGTATGAAAAAGTCATAAATCTACAAAATCCAATTTAAAATTACAAATCTTAATAATACCCAATACATCATAAGTACAAATTAGATATACCAAGACAAAAACACTCTCACCAATTATATATTTAAATACATATACATGCATGACGTATACATTTATTATGTGATATATAATATATTAAGCATATGATAATTTACTATGAAAAAATATATATTAAATAATATATCTTATATGTAATCAAATATAAAATGTGTTATAATATTGTAAATTAATTATAATTTAATATTTATGTATGATATAATATGGATATAGTATATAATAATATAAAATATCTACTGCATAATAATTTAATAACATTATATTCTATATAAAAAATTATTCTGTCACAAAAATTAATTTACATTCTTATTTAATATATTATATATTAAAATATGTTTTTATCAAATAAAACATAATAAAAAATATTTAATATATTCTATATTAAAAATATTTTTTTTATTAACATTTAAAATGCAACTTAGTATATAACACAAATAATATGAATTTTATTTTAAATGAATAGTGCATGTGAAGTAATAATAGTTAAAACGTTTATGCGCTATAGTGCCGAAAACATAAGAAATATTTTTTTTTATGTTTCTTATTTTCTTCACAAAAATTAAAAACATTTTCTGTTATAGAAAAACAAAAACTTTTTATTGAACACGATTTTTGTTTTTATTTTGCCTTTTTAGGGGTGGACAACAGAAAATAAGAAACATTTCTCGTTACTAAATGCAGTCTTAATTAGCTCAACTCAGGTGATTAAATAAAAAATAATTATTTTTAATAAAATATATTTAGAATAATTATTTTTATGGATAATTATCACAATATAACCTACCCGCCCCAGTTGTAATTGTGTGTTTATCAATAAATGACACGTGTCATCATCCTATTCATCCAGGAAGTCTATAAATAAAGGCATAGATGAAATAGGAAGGCCCTGAAAAAAAAAAAAAAAAAAAAAAAAAAGGGTCCCTAAATTCAAAAATCCATAAATTCAAAGGGTCCAAATATAAAAGCTCCGCCGACATTCATTCCTAAAACCCAAACCTTGAAAAAGAAGAACAACAAGTACATCCAAAGTCCAGCAAAGAAGAGAACATTAAGCAAAAAAATGAAAGACACTCACCACATTTCAATTGGCATGAGAAGCTCCCTCATTTTTAAGGTCTTCCCAGCACAGCGGTAAAGGAAAGATTATTTCTTTAACCCCCAATGGCGAGGTGCTCATTATTTATGATAATGGTTGCTTGCTTTTCTTCAAAAATTATTTGAAGACAAAGAACAAGTATAACCAAAGTCGTGTTGTTCTTCACAAATTATCCGAAAACGAAGAACAACAAGCACATCCAAAGTCATTACGTTCTCCTTAAATTCAACAAAGAACAACAAACACATTCCTCATATTTAACAAATAACAACAAACACATCAAAACCATGCTGTTCTTTTCATGTAATTCAATAAGTTCAAAGAATCATCAAACAACATTGTTCGAGATTAAGCTTCGTCAGCCTTAGATCAGAAATCATTGACGGAGAACAACAGGCACATCCAAAGTCGTGTCGTTCTTCCTTAAATTCAACAAGTTTGAAAAATCACCAAACAACACTATTCAATATCAAGCTTCGTTCTTCCTCAAATTAAACAAGTTTGAAAAATCACCAGACAACACTATTCAATATCAAGCTTCGTCAAATCACTGGCGGTCTTCCTCAACTACAAATATTTGAAGAGGATTATCAACAACCCGATTCAAGATCAAGCTCCAACAATCATTACATCCAACTACAAAGGAGATCGAATTAGAAAATACTTTATTTATTTTGTAAAAAATATCTCGGAGGATTGTACTCGAATTTTCATAAATTAATAAATTATTATTTACTCAATATTTCGTTATTTAATTTGCAGATACGAAATTTGTGTATACATTTATAACTTTACTTCCATTAAAAGCATTATCATTATTATCAACACCGCATGCTTCAAAGTAGATCTGTCAATGGAGCGGATCTTGATCTGGATCCCATTCGAATCCGATCCGATTAGTCGGATATGGATTGAATAAAAAATCAGATAATCCGATTATGATTCGAATCCGATAATCCGTTAGCTTAACAAATTGGATATGGATTATGCTGATCAGATCCGTTAATAATCTGAGCTGATCCAATTAAAATTATATATATATCAATACTCCTATTAAAATTGTATTAGAGGTAACCCAAAAATTAAAAAATAAATAAATAAATAAATAAAATCATAATGTTATATATACAATAGTGTGGTGTTTTCATCAACATGCTAATAAATCTCTTAATATACATACTAATAATATCATACTTTTTATTCATTAATAAAAAGTAAATAATTTACAATATACTATATGATGATGAATGGTCTGTAATGATTCGGAACGACAACGTTTTATCTTGACACCGGTGGGGTGCCTGCCAAACAACCTCCGATGGCAAAGTCAGTTTCCTGAAGAAATAAAGGAAGCAATTAATGAAGTGGAGTTCAATATTGCCCGTACCCCCCTGGTTGGTGGGTCGCCTCCTTTTTATAATTTGCCGACGTGGAGTTTGTTGCAATTTCTAAGGAGACCCTTTGCCGAGAATCACAATTTCATCTTATCATATCAAAACTACTTTTTGAATTTGTAACGCGAACAATATTAATCACCTTATCCTATCTTATCTTATCCTATCCATAATCAACCTGTTTAGCTTCTATATCAAATTTCCTCATCAGTTGCCCCCCGTTCTCGAATTCTTAAGTGTTGAGAATTGGGAATGATACACAATTCATTACAAGTCGTCTATTTAATTTTAATTATATATATATAGATCAGTCTACATCAAAAAGAATTTTATTTGAATACAATTACTATAGATGAATGTATTTAATTTTTTACTTTATATATAGATAAGTCTTTATCCACATAAAAAGTAATTGTTTCCTACTAAGACTTTTAAAGCTTGCTGCACTTCCATATAAAAAGTGATTACTTTTCATAGTACA